AAGTGATATGACAAACTCTACCATATAGAGAAAACACACATACTTACAACATACAGAAATGTCTCTAGATCGAAATTTTCATCCTTAATACATTGTTAGGTCAGTATTCTTATCATTGTCACTTTGAATAACGGATCTTTATTTTAATATGGCATCTAATATTCTTGGCATTATGATTTTTTTTAAATAATGAAAAACAAATAAATTTACCTGAAAAATAAACTTCTAAGAATTAGTTTTTAATATTCTGAAAAAAATAAATCCCTACAATTCTTCTCTATGTGGATGGAAAACTGATTCTCATAATAAAACGATTGTAAAGGATCTCCTCCCTCCTATACATAATCCCTCTCCTCCTCTCCCTCCTATACATAATCCCTCTCCTCTTCTCCCTCCTATACATAATCCCTCTCCTCCTCTCCCTCCTATACATAATCCCTCTCCTCTTCTCCCTCCTATACATAATCCCTCTCCTCCTCTCCCTCCTATACATAATCCCTCTCCTCTTCTCCCTCCTATACATAATCCCTCTCCTCCTCTCCCTCCTATACATGTATATAATCCTGCTCCCCCTCCTGCTATACATATTCCTTTTCCTCCTACTAATATAACTACCACTAATTCTACATCTTTTATATTTCAGTTGCTATTCCTATTCATCGCACGCACAATCCTCCTTCTTGCCCTCTTTTTAATACTATCAGCAACCCTGCCCTACACTTTTTGTTGTTGTTTTTTTAAATAAAAATTGTAATATAATTTTTGTATACTGCTTGTACAACACAGAAAATATTTTGTTGTCTTTAAAAAAATTAACCTGTTTCGACGAGTTCGCAAATCAATTCCAACACAGACCATGTCATGTCAAGCAGAGGTAATGACAAGTGTGTTGGACAATAGCTTTAATTGATGCTATACCTAATGAAAGATCACAGTCACAAATGAAAATGAATCGTGTGCGTCGATCGACCAGCAATTATTCATTATCGTTTATGAACTTGTTTTAGCAAGGTCATTTTTTGTTTCAATTCATAAGACCTAGCTGTTTGTACCTGTTTAACTTGTACTATGCTGCATTCATACTATGTATACTTCTAGATATTTTGTTTCCTGGTCGCAATGGATCACTATACATTTCATTTTTTATAAAATAGGAAAGGAAATTTATTTATTAAAATAGTTTAAAATAGGCAGGTTAAATATCTCGATTTTCATGTGCAATAAATATTATAATTTTATATTATAATTTTGGATATGCTGAAAACTGAATATACTCATTTTATCGTTGAAAAGGGTTTCATGTATATGGTAATCAAACATGAAGTCTTGGAAAGGAAAATAAATAAATAAAAAAACCAATGAAAGTGGTTAAGTATGTTTGAAATTTTAGTTGACCTCTCTCTCTCTCTCTCTCTCTCTCTATATATATATATATACCGGGTATATATATATATATATATATAGAGAGAGAGAGAGAGAGATGTCGTCTGTAGGTAGTAGAAGATCAAATACGGTATAATAGTGTATATTTATTATACCATATATGGCCAAATATTAACCCTTAAAAAAGTACAAAGTACAATTTCCACAGAATGACATGTAGATGGAATTGACGGAGAAATCACGTATTTTTTTAAAAAAAAAAAAAAAAAAAAAAAAAGAGTTATATTCTGGGAGCTAGGGTGGGGGAGAGGATGGTTGAAGATGATTGTCGTCCGTGCTTCAGATGATGTAGGTTTTTGGTGGGGCTAAGCTGGTCAAACATTGAAATTGCATTACATTTTGTAAAATTTTTTCAATTTATGGACATCTAGCCGAAACACTGTTTGCTTGGGCTGCGCAATAATATCCATATTCCGGTATATTGTGATTCGTTTGCAAAAAATATTGCGATACAAAAGTATTGCGATACATTTTTACAGTACCGATATACCGGCAAAATACTTGGGTTTTAGATTTCTAAAGTAAAATAGAAAATTTAACATGTCAGAAACGTTTTCAATCGTGCCAAACAGTAAGGTTATTGTTGTATGGTTGCATTTTGTTGCAAAACTGTAGTGAAATCAACAAAAACTTTCTTGTGACAACGTTATTTAAATAGTTACATGTATTTTGATTATAAATGGAGGTCAAATTTTTTTTTAAAAAAGCATCTTAAAGGTTATTGAAAATATTGCAATATATATCGCAATACAGATAAAAAATATAGCAATACATTGCAATACGAAATTTCCAGCCGATACCCAGTCCTGCTGTTTGCATGATTTAAATAAGTACAGAATCGCGTTTACTAAAATTGTAAAATTCATGCTCCTTGTGCACACGCTCTAGACTTTATGGTAAGCTTAGTTGGTCATATCTTGATAGTACATAACATATTTGAAAATCATCTCTTTTCACGGGCATCTACCAAAATTGTGAAATTCATGGCCCCTGGAAATAAGCTACATGCCCCAAGTCTTCACTAAGTTGATCATACATTAAAAATGCATTTTAATATCTTTGTTTCTTTTTTCATGATGGACATCTAGCTGGTAAGCTAATTGAAGAATTACAATGAGTACTTAACTGCTTTTTAAAAAAAAATTGCAAATATCAAGGCTGTAAAGAACTAGCAGATCATTATAATCATGCAAACATACAAACCTGCTACAGGTATATATCTATGAGTAAATGAAGAGGGTTTTCAAAGATGTAACGTAAATTCAATATATGATCATTATAGCCCCAACCTGGTCATTAACCACAACCAAGGTATAATGTATTTCAAATGTACGACCAACCTTACCCCTCTTAGAGCCTGAACATTGACCCTGAGGCATAAATTTCTCAGTTTTGATAGAGAGCTACGGGATAATTATAAATATGGAAGTATTTTGCCTGCTAAATGTTCATAAAAAGAGAGGATTTTGAATCAGTAATGTTTCTTTAATACATGACCACATACGCCCCATCCTGGGATCTGAACTATGGACCAAGGGCCTCGAATTTCACGATTACGAAGGCTGAGTAGTCATTACAATCATGCTAACTAGATTTCACCAGAAAAGGTGATTATGAATTCTTAATGTATATGATCAATTTTCTCCAAGCTGGAGCTTGAATGCTGAACCTTAGAGTCATGAATTTTACAATGTTTAGTAAAGGCTTACGTATTTATTATAACCATGCCATCAGTTTTCATACTAGATGTCCGTAAAAGAAATAAGACGATTTTCAAAGGTTTAATGTAATATATGAGCAACAAAGCCCCACCCTCAAGCCTGAACTTTGGTCAAATAGGAGACCAAAATTTAAGATAAAAACAAAAGCACAGAAAACAATCTGACAGGGTCATTTGTACATTTATAATGAGATTAAAAAAACCATTAACTGATTTATTTTGAATTCTTATGTCCCTATGGTCTCTATGTTTACATAATATACTATGAAATCACTTATTTTCATGAGGATTTAATTTTCGTTGTTTTCGAGGTATGGCGAGATCCAGGAATTCATGTCATCCACGAAATATATAATTTCAAATACATGTATATAACAACTAAGCAATCCCTTGACCACGAAATCAAATTCCTACGAACCATTTTTTTTGTCTTCAAACCACGAAAATTTGATCCCACGAAAATATATTATTTCACAGTATATGGAACCTGATTTGAAAAGAATATAAGCAATTAACATGTAGGCCGATAGTGTTGTCCAAGAATTTCCCCTTCAAAGAGTATCTCTACTTATTTCGATATATACTTACTGCAGACCTTGTCGTTTTCCCTCTAGGGGTCCAGCGGCAAAAATTTAACAAACTTGTTTTCCCCCTGCATAATAATGCAAATAAAAGAAATGTTTAAATGACTAGTTTAATTTTTTTTTCATCTTGTCATGTATAAACAAACCCTTTTTATAGAATTTTTAATCCTCTTTAACCACGGATGTTTTTAGCTGATTAAGATTGTTTTATGGCCCGGTGGTTACTGAGAAAAGGTCAACCATGTAAACTCATATTATGTCCCAAAAAGCCCATTTGCAGCCATGGGTCAGATGAACTGTTGTAATTGGTCTTAAATGCCCATTTTTTCATTAATGAGACAGAGGGTATCCTTGAACTCTATTTACCTGTTTTCTTTTGCACATTAACAGTCAGACGCCTAGTGGATCATCATCGTTTAGCTATAAGGGGAAGTAAGGTAGTGGATACAAAGAAACAATGATGTCGTTGTAATTGCTCGTGATATTATGCTTAATACTTAAACAAAACAAACGAAAGGCCCATGAGTTTTGTTAGTCACCTGAGTATCATAAGTTTCTCTTGATATACCCAACCTAAGCTCCACTTGGAACTATGAATTCATGCAATTTATCAAAAGGCAAATAGCTTACTGTAATAAAGATTACTCGCTTCAATGATATTTTCGAAGTTACAATGTATATTTTCAATATTTGACCAACCTCCTCCATCCCATGGGACTGACTCCTAGGGTAATGAATTTCACAGCTTCCGTAGAAATGCTATTGCTTATTATACATGTAATCAGTTTGACTAATTGCTTACAGGAGTAAAGAAGGTCGCATTCATTTTGATTTTTCGAGACATCCCTCATTCCTCAAGGAGACAGAGACCAAGAAATTTTTTTTAAAAAATGGTTGAAATTCGTTCGGCCAATCCGGGGAAACTGAAAAGTTTACAACTTTTACGGAAATACGAATCGAGTAATCTTAAAAATTAAAAAAAAAAAAAAGAAGAAGTATGCTGAAACTGACGGATAAAATCAAATGAGAAGATGTGTGGAAAAGGGGTTAAAATTAAAAGATATGAAAGCTTTTTCATACACTTTAATAGACGGTAGATTTTTAATTTTTGACATCAGTAAATTTATGGGGAAAATGCATACATTATTGCAAACATATGGCCTCAAATAACATTAATTAAATACAATACATTTACCATAATTTCGTTAACAAAGCAAACTTTAAATTTTTTCTTCTTTTTTTTTTTTAAAAAAAAAGACTTCTTGTTTGAGTTCTGAAAATATCATCGTGTTTCCTACAGATTGCTGAAGCTTCAACACAGAGAAATTCATGGTATCTTCACTCGCATTACGTAAATTTTGAAGAAGAAAAAACGACTCTAAATGTTTAAAGAAATAGACAAAGATACTCAAACTGAAGTTCATAAAATGCATCAAATCCATTTTTATCATCACTTAAGCTTATTTTCACGAACAAAGTAGCGTCACACTTTGGGTGGGTATTACCGGATGTCGTCTGTAACGCCAACACATGCAATAAAACATGCAAATCTGGCGGGAAAAAAATCACTCTTTTTGTCCATCTTAGCAAAATCCTGGCAGTTGAATACAAAGAATGATGAATAATAATCTTATGTGGGCATGAAAATTGGTTATGCTCCGGAAATTCTGCTATTTTTTAGGTTGTCATAGTAAATGTTAATAGAGTCCATCTGTGTTTCTCGAAGCCAGATGTGGGGCCTTTTGGACTGTATAAACTCCACTGCTTCTTGAGGCTTCCACTTATTCACCTACAAAAAAATAATTTGAAAGTATAAAATCAAAGAGTGAACATTTACAAGTTTTGTGTCCAAGTGTGAATATAAATGCAATAAGGCATAATTTTTTTAAATGGTCAATGTGTGTTGTAATCTGATTTTTAAGTGGATGTAAATAAAATTTAGGACATATTTTAATTTACATACCGGTATGTACATCTACTCAGTAATTAAATTAAAAAAAAAATTGAAATAGTAACTTACAAATATAAACACGAAAGTGCTTCAATCAAATATCAGGTCCTTCGAGAGAAGAAAATATGTTTTTGTTTTACCTTGTTTTTAACGTGTCAAAAACATGTAGGGTAAAGAAAGCTAGTATATGTACCTGTGTTTTACCCGGAGATTGCAGAGACAAACTGTCTTCATGCCAAGCTGTCAGAACCTTAGTAGTTTTCTTAACGTTAGATGTTAAAAACACATGGTCAACGACACTTGACACTTAGAAACTGTGTTACACTTGTCAAACAACCATTTTACAACATGACATGTGTCTTTTTCCTGACCTCAGATTAATCCAGGGTAAAATAATTGAAGTGCAGTCTCTCCGACTCCAGTATTAAGTAAGAAAATTGTTAAAATACCTTCAAGAATAGTTTTCTTGCAAATTTCAATCAATAGTATGGGCGGCTGAGAGAGAGGGTGGAGGAGGAGGGTGGGGATGGGGGCCACCCAGTTGGGTCATACTTTTTGGTTCACAAGCACCCACAAATTCTCTGCATACACGTACATGTATTTTGTTATTAAATACGAAAAAAAAAACGATGAACCCCTACTGGCACAAGGCCCTACATACTTTTTATTCCTTTACATTTTTTTTTAAATTACTTGAAGAAAAGTACATTACTGCTGTAAAAAGAATTGAGAGGTCTTGAAATCTATTCGTACTTAAAAAAAAATTAATAAAAAGATATTCAAATGACAGATGGTTGATATTGTTAATTTTGCATTGTATGACTGTTTATTCCTCTGTTACTTTTAATGTTAATTCATGTTATGATATCTCTCTCTCTATATATATATTATTTATTGTTAAATTTTTGCATTCATTTCATCTTTATTTTTTCCGTTATTGTTCCTATTTTACCTGTCATTCAACAAGGGCAAATGTTCTTTTTTATAGTTGAAAATGAATTTAAGGAAACGGATTAATATAAGTTGTAACAACTTGTTTCCGAATCCTGTGTGTATTATTTATTGTGTACATATGACGTATAATTGAAATGAAATAAAGTTTAAACTAAATGACAGATTACTAGTTTCAACTTTAATACATACATTGTACCAATCCAAATTGGGGGTGGGAAGAAAAGACAAGTGATACTAAACAAAGTCTACACTTTTTTGCAGTGACCTTGTACCTCTCTTAAGGACCTAGGGTCAAGGTCAAGAAACTTCTCAGATCATAAGCAATTTATCAAGTAATGACTTCCAGATTTTCTACATTACAAAGTTATGGCTAATTGGTAATTGCTCAAACGGACAAAATTATTCATGTGTAGATCCATCCATCCTTAACTGTTTGTGGAGATTACTAAACTTAGTTTCATAAAAATTAGCAAATATCGATATCTGGAAAAGCAGTGGTTCAAACTCCCTTAAAACTCTGTTTTAGTTTACATAGCAAAAAATTACTTATGTGTAAATATAGCCATGGGTATTACTCTGTGTGCAAAACTTAAAAAGATGGACGAACAAGGCGTGCAGAATGTCTATCACTTCAGATATTTAAAAATAAATTCAATTTGTGAATTTCATATTTAGAGTAAAGTTCTTATTATTGAAATTTATGAAACCATAACATACAAAACTTTTCTTCGGAAATTCTTCTCGGCAAAAATTATTCTATTATTATAAAATAAAGTGGTATTCTAGAGGTTCGAACCCTGGCAGTAAAAATCCTAAAAATCATGGGGTTTTTTTCTTTGAGACTAACACGCTAACCACTACGATACACAGCTCATGACAATTAGCGGCATCTAAATCATGTTTGTGATAGGACCCTTGTTGGATTTCAAGTATTTCTCGGAAAAATACGAATGCTATGTCATAAAAGTGTCTTTTTAAGGCAAAGAGGATCTTTGCTCCATGTTTTTGTTAACCAAAAAATGCATACTTTGAGCATAAACTTTCAACAAAAAAATGCAGCGAAGACCCATTCATATGGAAAAATTGTGTTATAATATGAGAAAATGATCCTTTTGCCCTCTTTAGTGTGTGTATGCTATTTCATAGACAAATAATTTTAATCTTTGTGAGAATTTTGCAAATTGTGGAGATTTTATATAAAGTATACTTTAATGTTAGATGAAATATCAAAGAATTTTTTGTTATAATTGAGATTTAATTTTTCACCATTATATTTCATATAAATGTTATCAAATTTCAGAGATTTTAAGTTTCGAAATCTCAAAAAAAAAGTTCTAGAGCAAAGTTTCATAGTAAATCAAAGTATCAAAGTATGTACTTTAGTTAACTATCGTAAACTATAGTCAAGTATAATTTAGTATAGTAAATTGTTGTTGTTTTGAGGAGAACTACACACAAGAACAAAATATGTGAGTAAAGAGATATGCATCTATCTTTAACAAAGTGCACAATTACTTTATCTCTATTTATCCATACGAGCTAAAACCATATGCAAATCTATTGCACATTTGTAAATATACTCACATACGAAACTCTCATCATAAACACGAATTTGCTTATATGCAAAATTTACTCATGATCAAATAAGTTAATTTACAGTTGATCTTTCGTTTCTACTAACATTTCGTTCATTGGACCACCTTACTGTTTACCCAAAAGTCAAAACACACGAAGGCATTCTCTTTCTCCGAGAGGAAACATACGTTATTGAAAGGAGAGTTGTAACATTTTTATAATATACTCAAAGTGCATAATATCCCAAGTGAACACATAGCAAACTTACTTAGGCACACAGGATCGAATTTGCTCATTAGTAAATATACATATGAGTTATTTAAGACATGAGTATAATTTTTGAGAATTCATGAGGACATGAACTACGAAACTTCACGCCTGCATATTTCATGAAGCGCTTTAGCGCTTCATGATAAATATGCAGGCGTGAAGCGTTGTAGTTCATGTACCTAATGAATTCTCAAAAATTAAATTCATATCTTATATTTACATTATTTTTCTGATGACTTGCAATATATTTTTGTCATTCAACGATCGTTTTTGAAAGAAAAGGTTTGCACTATTTTTTTTACTTCAATCACATCTCAAAGGAAATATTCTTACTCATCCCACGGTAGTTCATGAGAACATGAACTTTTTCTTATTTGCAAAGAATCTTAAGGAAAAATATTTGGAAATGTAAATTATTGCCTATAAACAAGCTCTATGAGCATAAAATTTATATTATAAACAAATGCATCATATACCGATATTTCCTTATGTGAGTATATTTTTATAGTTGCAATCAATTCGCATATGTATATATTTCGACGTATAAACAGATCTTAAATTAGCTAGTTCCATGTCAGAATTTTCACTATTTCCAATCTTGTTTTACAAATTTTGTGATTTGAAATTCAGGCGATCGTTCAGGAGAAAATACAGATACGTTAAATGATAACAATACTGACCGACGGGGCCAGCTCAGCTGCAAATATTATTCAGTAGACACAAAACTATGTGTGCAGAGTACTACAGACCAAGATTAAAATTATGAAAAGGACATTTTTTGACAAATAAGTTCTGTAATGTAGTCACATAAGTAAATCTCGGCATATAAACGTGTTTGCTCATACACAAAATTTGCTCATATAGGTAAATTTGCACCTAGTTTAGGATAGGTGCAAATCTTTTACTCAAATACGAAAAAAGCAATTTTTTGTCATATGAACGCATAATAAAGTTTGCCTTACACAAGTTCTATTTTCTGCAAAAGATGAGAGCCAGTAAATTGTAATAGTGTAACTGTATTTAAGTTTGTGATGGATGACAATTGCTCACGGTGCCGCTCACATTAACATCGGACAGCCTTTTTGTGGAATGTGAATTTTTCTACCGAAATATGAAGATAACGAACAGTAATCAAGCTCGAAAGTCCATTTGAATAATACAAATTGGGAGCAGAGCAAATAAGGACCTCTAAACACATCAGGGGAGGGATCGGGTGCCATGGAGGAGTAAGCATCCCCTGTCGACCGGTCACACCGTCCGTGTGCTCCTTGTCATGATCGGGCAAAACGGAAAAATCCATAGACAATTCAGGGTGAAAATAAAGGCCTAACAATCTGTACGAGTTAGTCAACATTCGACTTACAGTAACGATAGATGTAATTACTAACATTGTATCGACCATAGAATTTACAAAATGATGACTTTTGATTAGACGAGACTATTGATATCCTTGCATCATCATCTTATTTGTCAATAGCTTGCCTCGTTTTATTTATTTATTTTTTGTTGTATGTTGTTTAACGTCCCTCTCGAGAATTTGGAGTCATATGGAGACGCCAACACTTGCCGGTGGAGAGCTGCAAATTTTGTCCTATACTCGGCACTTACGGCCATTGAGCAGTGAGGGAACTTTATCGTGCCAGCACCTACTGCGACCCGGGACCTCGGTTTATACGGTCTCATCCGAAGGACCGGTCTCCACGTCCCACAGTGGGATTCGAACCCGCGACGTAAGGATCAACTCCTTACTTCGCGACTATAGAGCAGACGCTCTAACCACTGCGCCACGCGGGCGATGCTTGCATCGTTTTAGAAATTGTTCGTACGTATGTAGAAAATGTTCTTGCGTATCAGATCAACTGGAAGACATAACTCCATATGCAAGTAATAATGGTATGTTGCTATATAAATCAGGGAAGCTGACAATAGAAAAGTTGAAGTCATCGAGTTTACAAAGTTTTGTTGTTAGTTTGCCATTAATGCCTTTCTCTTATAAAATATCCAGATATGAAACAAATGATTCAGACTCGGTGATGTCT